TCACTGTGAGGTTGACAATGTGCATTCTCTTGCTTTCATCCTCTGATATAGGACATTTTATCTTTTCTATTCATGTATGCAACTCAGTGAGAACGTTGTGCATGCCGAAGTGCTTTTATCTTCTTGACATGCGATTTTTTTGGTATAAATCAAGCGAAAGATGTTTGTAAAGAGTTCTGATCATTAGATTTCAAGTATTCTTCATCAACTTAATGCATGTTATTTCAGATTCAAAGTTACTATGAGCAGTGGAAACCGATCTAGTAAGTCTTTTCATATGCAAAATCAATTTTTTTCACAAATCTATCATCCAGGTCTTCTTGTTTGGTTGTGGATGTGCTTAACGAAGTCTTTTTTCCTCATTATTGACGTCGGTGAATGTTGGTCGAGTAAATGCGATGAGAATTTTTGGATAACCGTGCTAGGGCAATCCCATATCTTATACAGCTACTCGCTGTAGTTTGTTTAAACGGAAGGACCGCGGTAATATATGATGTGTCCGGAACCAATCTTTCAGCTGCACAGAAGCAGGGGGTGTTCTGAGCTCATTGTCACCGTCAAAAAATGTGCTTGCTCTGAACAAATGTTACTGCGACAGTGTTATCTGCATAAGATATGTAAATAAACGCCATACGATATTAAGCGGGAAATGGACTCGGTGGTATCAGAGATGCCGTATTTCTGGATTCCCCTTTGTATTTTCGGTAGAAGTATTTTGTAGTCTCTTTAATAGTTTCAATGTGACGTGGATCCGCTGCTGCCGCTTTGATGACATAGGTGAGTTTAATTATCCGAGGGATTAATAGCAGCTTCACTGAGAATTTCCTTACTTTACAATGACTGCAAAAATGTTCTCGGACATGAGTTCGATGTGAAAGATGATGCGCAAAAGTTTATTTTCTCTTAGATGAAGTGAGTGCCATCATCGAAAGATTCATGTGCTACGACTCTCACATTAGTGCATAGGATTACTTCTAAAAACTACTAACCTTAATCTTTACTAGAAGGTCCCATTTTCCATTCTTACTCCCGATGAATTGTCCAAGTTCACTATGATCTTTTGCTTAAGTTTCACAAATACGAAGAATTTTGTTCACCGGCAGTGTATAGATAAAAGGGAGCGATCAATTCACTTGCAAAAGCATGCGTTGTCTTATCACAGGGCCTTTTTAACTTGTTGAGAAGTTAGGTTTGAATGTTGGATGCCGAATATTAATGTTGCAGCATTATTAGAATTGCGACAAGGTAGCAAGTCTTACATTTTTACAAATGTGATAAGATTAGGCATAATAAATTCATGACAGTAATATATAAATAATACAGCTGGCCCTCACAAAGGAGTCAACCAGAACAATTCCAACGAAAGCTTTTCACTACCACGCATATACTGCAGTTGATATTGTTGGTACTTTGGACCGCAAAATAATGGAAGTGCGTAATACTCTTATCAATTTAGCTTCAACTGCATTATCATAATTACCTCTGATTAGTGGACGACGAGAATTACATGGTGTGACAAGGACGTAAAGTCATGAAAATTACTGGTCATGACAAGAGGGGTCCAGAGCTTGAAATGGTAGTGGTCCATGATAAAGCAGAAGGAAGGCATGAAAAGAACGTCGAACTTGTTCCTGCTCGCATTTGGCGCGTTCAGGCGCCAAAGGTGATCTCGTTCTAACGTCTCAATAGATCTGTTATCGTTAGTTATTGTATGATTGCAGCAGGCCACAGACTATTACGAAAGACTAGTTGAGCATCTAGCTGACAGCGGTTCGACTTAGACTCGCGTGCGTGAGCGGCATCTCATGAGTTGATGCAGCTCATTAAATTTGTATTGTGGATTTAAGGGTTTGTTTCAATAATTATACAAGATCAGTGTTCATTAGACAGAAGTCACAAGTGGAATCGCCTGAATAAATGCAGTAAAACTTACAAAAAGTTTTTTTTTACGTACATGGCCCCCTTGTTGAACACACATAATTGCCTTTATCATGACACCCGGTTAAAGTACTGGTTGAGAAGACAATCTTAACGATCTTGGAAGTAGTTCACTTAACTCATCCCTTGTGATTGCGCGGGTGCCGGAGCAAAGTTTAAATTCTTGACTGTTTGTTATGACAAGGTTATCAGTCGATTTAGATAAATGGTATGTTAGCTTCTTTTTCAGGGCACACGCTATAACTGTTCGTCGACAATTCCTGAAGGAGCTCTCTGAGGATATGCACAAGGAAAACAGGTGTGCAAGTAAGTGCTTAAGTGAGGAAAGTATAAACAAAATGTACCCAATGGTAAAGAGTGATTTGCAAAAACATATGCCTTAGCTGGGATTCGAACACAGATTTCACCATATCCTAGGGCACGCGTTGAACCGTTGCACTAGCGACGCCCGTTTTCACGTCACTTTTTTTACGCTACAACGCGTTATGTGGCATCAGTCAACCGTCAGCGGTCTGGCGTAGGCAGTCAGTATTGACAGTGAACTCGGTTATGAAAGAGTGATATTAAAACAGGCGTCGGTAGTGCAATGGTCCAGCACGCGCCTTCTCGGATAGGGTGAAATCTGGGTTCGAATCCCAGATGACGCAAATGTTTTTGTACATCACTCTTTATCACTGGGTGTATTGTAACATCTCACCATTGCTAAATGCAGTCAAATGAAAAAAAATCTTGCTCATTATAAACAGAATAGTTTTGGAATCAGTAAAATTTAGCGCCTGTGCGGGCTATTATTACATCACGCAGCGCCATCCTCCAGAGGATCTGTGGCGGAAAACCTTGATAGAGCGAGCACGAAAGGCGAGTGGAAGCGAGGTAATTTTGCTAATTGCTATCTTTGAACATCAGTACGCAAAATCTTGTATCTCTTCTTTGTTTCTTCCGGTTTTTTATCTTTACTTTTATATTCATTCATTATTCAGACAAAATATTATTTCTTACTTAGTTATTTTCATTCTTGCTTTATTAATTAATGTAAATTATTTTTATCTTACTCCTTGCTTTTGAAACCTAATTTGTTTTTGCTTCTTCTTCTGTAAGGATATCGTGGTGTGTCAATGTACGATTTGTGTTCAATACTGTATTTAGCAGCGGGGTGATCCAATCACGAACGTTCACAACGTGGAAGCCTCTGGCTCTTCTACTCCTGCCCCACCAGGCTCTATTACAGCGCCCTCGTATCGAATTTGGCGTCCAGTAAGCTTTTTGTTTCCCTTCACTGTTTATAATTCGCATATTTCATCATTGCCCCTCTTTGTAAATTAGGTACTGCAAATTATTTCCATTTTGAATTCTATGAGTAGCCTCACCGCGCAGTCTGTTGCCGAGATCAACATCCAGTAAGCATTTTATCTTCTTTCATTTCACCATTATACAACGATTTTGTCATTATTTTCTTTTCTGGAATTGAATAGTGTACTTTATTTTCAGCGTGGGTCTAGTTGTGCATAGTAATACAGGAGTGGGTGATGAGACGTTTGCTTGCAATATTATCGGCATGAAGCGACAGAGTGGTGCGTTAGCGACCGACTAGATCGAAGCGAATGTCGCAAAGAGAAGTGTGGATATTGTAGACTTATCGCTTTCATCTCATCACTTCCTCCAGTGGTTTTCGTCTTAAGAGTAATGGATGTTTATAGTAATCAACTTTTCATAGTAATGTTGTTTCGCAATCTGTATTATTTCATCCATGAAGAAAACAAGGAAAATCGTTGATCAGCGGCGGTCACGCGCTGGTTAGCTGTTTTCGAGTTGTAAAGTAAGAGCAGTTCACATCATCACTAGACGATAGTTCTCGATTTCGGACCTGATTGAGTTTTGTGCCACAAACCAGTGGAGAAGAATTATCGGTTGTCAACCTAGGACAATGTTCTGTTGCTTTACAGTGCCAAGCGAGTAATGTATTTTTTGCGTAGTTAAGAAAATGTTAAAATGCGGTTTTGGAGAAAGGAATGCGGCCGATTCATCATATAGGAGGCGTAAGAACAAAGATTGTGCATGAAGTGATTTAGAAGGACAATCTCCCTGAAATTCCAATACCTAGCCTTTTCCAATTAAACCAGATAGTCGAGGTATTCGCTGAAATTGTGAAAATTACTAGCAGTCTGAGGAGTGCTGTCCTGCAAAAGGTACGAGCGATAACGCCGGATCACGAAAGAGCTTCCAACGAGTTTGAAAAACGAGTTTTTTCTCAGAAAAGAAAATAATGACAAAATCGCTGTATAACGGTGAGATGAAAGTAGATAAAATGCTTACTGCATGTTGATCTCGGCAAAAGACTGCGCGGTGAGGCTACAAATTAAATTCAAAGTAGAAATAAATTGCAGTACCTACTTTTACAAAGAGGGGCAATGACAGAATATGCGAATTATAAGCAGTGAAGAGAAACAAAAGCTCAGTGGACGCCAAATTCGCTACGAGGGCGCTGTAGTAGAGCCTAGTGGGGCAGGAGTAGAAGAGCCAGAGGCTTCCACGTTTGAACGTTTGTGACTTGATCACCGGGCTGCTAAATACAATATTGAACACAAATTGTACATTGACACACCTCGTCATGACAGAAGAAGAAATAAAACAACAATTTAGGATTCAAAAGTAAAGAGTAAGATAAAAATGAAATAGATTAATTAAAAAAGCAAGGATGAAAATAACCAAGTAAGAAGTAATATTTTGTCTGATCAATGAATGAATAGAAAAAGTAAAGAAAAAAAACAGGAAGAAACAAAGAAGAGACACAAGATTTTGCGTACTGATTTTCAAAGATAGCAATTAGCAAAATTAACTCGCTTCCACTCGCCTTTCGTGCTCACTTTAGCGAGGTTTTCCGCCACAGATCCTCCGGACGATGGCGCTGCGTGATGTAATAATATCCCGCACAGGCAATAATTTTTTTAATTCCAAAACTATTCTGTTTATAATCTACAAGAATTTTTTTTTATTTGACTGCATTTGACAATGGTGAGATGTCACAATAGACCCAGTGATAAAGAATGATGCACAGAAACGTTTGCGTCAGCTGGGATTTGAACACGGATTTCACCCTATCCGAGAAGGCGCGTGCTAAATCATTGCACTACCGACGCCTGTTTTGGAAAAAGTCAAGTAAACACGAACGCAAAATACACTACACAGTTGAAAAAAGACAAGAGTTTCTTATCGTTGCTACACCTCTATGAGGAAACGTTGAGAAATCAAACGCAATATGAGAACCGCATTTTTTTAGCACTCAACTGACTTCCCAAATTTAGTGAAAAACCTGTGCTTTAGGAGGAAACGGCAAAAAAGTTTGTGCACTATCTCTGGTACAAGTGGGAAAGAAAGGGTTAAATCTTAGCAATTCTGAAAGTTTATTTGTCTTGTGAAAAGACTTCTGTGTTGTATTAGCCGATAGAAAATTGAGTTTTACAACCAGCGCGCATTTTCTGCTCGTCCTAGCCTTGTAGACGACTTCCCAACAATCCTTTGATATAACTTGACAATATATTTTGAGACTTTCGCGTGCTCTACTGCAAGTACTTGCGCAGAGCAAGACACGTGTTCCGGCTTTTCAGTCTCGCCACTAGCACTGTGCCTTTGTGCTCAGCCGTAGAGGCTCGATAAGTATTCAGTAATTTGAGAAATGATAATTTCGACACTAGATTTGATTTTTGCAAGCGCCTTCATGGAAAGACAAGGAATTTAAGTTACGCTTTTAGAGCTGTATGCACGAAAAGCATCTGCCATCTAAAAAACCATGCTGTATCAGAGTATTCGACAAATATTAACATTTTCCCTAACTAAAGGAAGAATTTTCAAACGAATATTACGCGCCTCTCGAAAACTGATGCGTGTAGAAATTGACTGCATCCTGCGTGCGGTGAAAAGATCATCGTGGCAATCAGTTGCTTGGGAGGAACTCCACAGTGACCTTTTTACCGTACGCAGCGTGTAAATGATTCAACATCGACTTTTTTGAATGTAGGAGTGTACCTTATAAGCACCACAACAGACCTCATGAAAGGTTTGAGCTATGATGCAAGAATATCTGTATGATAATCCTCCGCTAACTTCACGAGTTAACTACTGCAGGCAGTGTCCCATTGATCGCCACAATATTCTACATTCTACTCAGCCACTGCAGGCCACATTGGAAATGTTAGCTCGAACAGATTCAAGCATTGCAATTCAAGACTAGGCAACAATAGTGGACGTAGACACAGCTTCACTGCCCTGACATAATCAAACGTAGAAGCAAAAACTTTGGACAAGTGGATGCCACACTACTCGCATGGTTTCATGGATATCTTCTTCGCATAGAAATCTGCTCATACCCTCATTAGAAGCAACGATCCTCTCAGAAAGCATACTGTGGAACGAAATACACACTATATGCGACGAGCAACACCGCTTCCCGAAAATTCTGAATTGTCAAGATGACTTCATCTTGGGTAGTGAAGAGAATCACACAGTATCACCTCTTCAGAGTTATCGAGAGCATTTGCAAACTTTGGCCTCAAAGAATTTTGTTATGTGCTATCTCTAGTGGATTCAATCTCAGAAGTCAGTAAGCAAAAGCGCATATGAACAATCAAGCAGCCTGATAGTTTTCACTGTCTTTAGCTAATCCTTACGCAGAAAAAAAAATTACCTTCAAACATAACAGATGTATAACGCAAAAGCTCCCAAGTGGTGAAGTTCGGTATTTATTTTTGTCAGTATATAGTATAACTCTTGAACATAGTGACCGTAAGCGTTTATAAAAGATCAGATCAATCGAAATTATAGTGAAACTGAGGACTTCAAGCGTTTAGATCCATACACGACGAAAAAAGACTCATACACTTTGATAAATCATGCAATATTATGTAGAAAAACATACCAGTTCACGCATGCTTTCGAGTTTCTTCTGAAGCCGCTCGTATTCATTTTGTATCACTAAAAATTGATAATGTATTCCCCATCAATACAACATGATGAAGTCTATGAGAAGAGAAAGAAATAACCTTGGAGCCGATTCTCGAGGTCGACTTTCTCGGAACGTAGTGCCTCAACCGACTGCTCTAGACGGCATTTCTCATTCAAACATTTACTCATTTAAATTCCAGTAGCGGAGCTTACAGTAAAACTGCTCACTTCATCGTTTCATGATGAAAGGCTAGTACTGAGGATTTGCGGTTGTTTTTGCAATTCCATCAACTTTTTTTAGAGTGCACATTCTACCTTCAGGCCATTTATGCGCACGTTCATAAAAAAATTCGATTATTACATCCAACTTTGTGAAATCAGAACTATCGCTGTAGCTGAAAGTTTAACCAAACAACTTTAGAGAAACTTATTCGCGATCTAAGCAAAAACAGCAATCCGTCCTGGTAACATATCATCAAATACAAAGTTCTCGACGGAGATTCTGAAGAGGCCAAGATGAGTTTATTCTGGACAGTAAAGTTGATCAATACGCTATCATCAACTTTTCATAGTTGCTGAGCACATTCTAGCCTTCAAGGGAAGTGATATCATCGCAAAACCACAAGGATGCAACCATATAGCTTTTAATGGATTAACGGAGCAGATTGAAAAGTATTTCATCGTTTTCAAAAATCAAGGAATCATCGTGCTAGAATAAATAGCGCAGGCTAATTTCATTTCATCATTTAGACTAAGAAAGCCTGAACTAAACTGAGAATTATTTTTGAACTCAAGCTCAAAAGTAACCATGTTTTTTACAAGAAATAAGGGAAACAAGAAATAGCCAACAGGAGAAATGGCAAAAGACGCAAAAATCGGTACTTTTCTGTTATTCAAATGCATATTTTTGCAAAAGCCTTTTTGCTTAGCAGATTTTCCACTAAACTCGTATTAATCGTCCGAAAGCTTAAATTCTGATAAATCAAAAATGTATTTGGTTCTAAGAAAAGTCTTTTTATTAACCTGTAGCAGTGAACCTAGACTTTAGTTTTACATTCGGTGCGCATTTTAACGCACGGATTCTTATTCATTTAAATATTTTTTTCTCCGTTTCGCAAAGATTTTAACGTTTTTTGCGTTGAAATTTCAGAAGTGCCTTTGCTCTATGATTTAATGATTTGTGATCTCCACATTTTCATTTTATATTGTCAAACAAACAGGCAATGGAGCCTGATAGCCAAGAATAAATGCGCTCTGTACGAAACTTGATGTTAGTTTCGCTTCTACAGCAGTGTAAGAAGGCTTTATCAGAAACATTAAAATGAAGCACTCAGACAGTTGCGATCTAAGTCACCAAACGTTTACTGAAGGTCAAGAAATCGCCAATGGCCTTGTTCTCAAAGGGCAAAAAAGCTCCTTAGTAACGGTAAATTTTTGAAAAATCAAACGGCCTGATGAACTCTCACCATCACTTAGCTATTCTATCCGCGATTCAAGAAACTAACTACATTTTGAATGTTTTCAACTGCTGATCGCAAAAAGTTTTCAACTTAGGTGGTGAGGTTGAATAGTTAATCACTTTCCCTACTAAGATTCGTGATATTGAGCACATTATTCAACACGTCGAGGACCGTATTCACCACCTGGCTCGCGACACAGTTGCCGGCATGCTTCAATGACAATGAGACGGTTATCTAATGAGATTTAGCTTTTCGCCGCCTCTAAAGGGCAAGTCATAGTTAGTAAATGACAGAAAAATTATAGAAGAGACCTGAATGACGGTATGTATGGTAGAAATAACGTAAATACTTCTTCTATAACAAAGCATTTTGAAAGGAAAAAAATCTTTAAATCACTCTAATTAATCAGTGCGCTCTTCTTCTGCCCTTCCCCGGGGACACACTGAAAACCGACAGATAGGTTTTTTTGAAAGTTTTAAATTGCAGATAGCATGCTGCCCTGTCGTCATTTCAGTGCACTTTAAAAGGAATGGGAGAGATGTGCTAAAAGTACGACCCTATTCCAGCAGCGTGGCTTGCGCACCAAAAGTTAGGAATTTTGAGAAGAACTGAATGCTCTCTCTACTATTATGACTTATAAAGAAGATCGTCGAAAGAAATTCTTTCTTTCCGTGGCAATGTTTTAGTCAGAAATCGAGATATCATCAAAGTAGTTATGGGTCGTCGCTGAAGATCAAACTAACAATAGCTAACTATTTTGAATACAAGCCCAATCTTTAGAACCAGAAAAACCAGTCATGAAGGTCCATTGAAAAAAATCAAGCTTCGTATCAAAATCGGTATCTTCCAATTTATATAATTGCTACAAAAAAATAATAAATTGCAAAGATTCAGTTATATAGGGACTGGGATAACCTTCCTTTTTGGAAGGATGCAGTTTGTTGTCAAGACGTAAGAAGTTTCTGAACACGTGGTCGTTGTTCCTACTAGATTCATTCCTACAAAGCCCCTCCTGTGATAAGCCATCAATTGAAACGACAGTGTCGCCTCAGATCCCCAATTCACAAATCACATTCCCTTGATGGAGTCGCGGTGAGACGATCGTTGCATGAAAGTTCATGCATTTTGTCTGCAAGGTGTTCATACACAAGCACTTAAGAGAACAGGTGAATTAAAATTGAATCAAACCTAACGACCTTCAGTGCTATGTTCTCAACAGTAAAGATATATAAACACTGTAATAAATGACAATATTATGCACAAAAAAACTTACCATTTCACGCATGTCTTCAATTTTCAATAAAGGTTGCTGGACTATTGCTCTAACAAGACTCTTCGATAGTGAGTTTAGCGCCTCCTTCAATTTTCGTGATTCTTCCTCAATTGACGACATTTCTGACGTCATCTGATATCCAGTCGTTTCTGTATTTTGAGAATTCAAAATTCTATCGATTCATCAATTGAGAAGACCTCGCTCAATCGCGTTGGTCGCATAGATACATTTTTAACAGCAGTTTTCTCAAAGTCAAACTTGTATAGAATGTATAGAAACATTAAACGTTCTTGAAAACACAAAGACTTAAGTAGAAGAAGAGATAGATGATTAAGTATCTGCCAAACACTTTGAAATAATTTGAGGGAGTACTAGCACGTCCAAAACAAGCCATAACCGACTCGAATAAAAAGGCTTCACAGCACACATTGGGAGCTCACACATCACTTTCGTGACAGATAAAAAA